AGTGAAAAAAAACGAATATAAGGCATAAACTGTTTGTTGCAATATTTACATCAGATGAAAAAATAAATCGATAATGTGAATAAATTGTTGTGTGCACACAATTCTAGCAGTATTAAACTAAGCGATCTGATATATACTCGAACATTCTGTAGGGTGCGGCCATATCTACAGAGGCCTTATTAGCTAATCAGATAGTAACATACATACAAGTTATGTTAAACATTATTTGTTGTGAGCATAAGATCGGTACACGCCCTATTCGAATACATCCATTTCATTCATAACATCTACGTGGCTGAGCTAATTCAGAGAGTCTTCCCATACTGATAGATTTTGACAGAGAGAGAGAGAGTAATGAGAATAAATCTGGGTTTTATCATATGGCAAGTCGCTGCAGGATACATATTTCCCAAATAAATTGCCTAGCAGACAGTTGTGTTAACCAATGCGAGTTATCCCAACAGTCGCTATTCTGCAATTCGCATGGAAGACATTAGTCAACGATAATAACTCCAGACCAATTTAATAAAGGGTTTTTAATCGATCATTGTTGGCACAGGGGTGGGGTGCATAATTTTGCTACAGAAGTGAGAGATACGAACTATGGCGTGCACCTTTAATGCCTTAAATTAGTCAATGTATTCCATTGCTCCCTGCACTGTATTACATTGATGTGTATTTAATTCTCGGCTTTTAAGTCCTAAAACGGGCTTGTTAGGCACTACGCCATTATTTCAAAAACAATTTATTCTAGCCACGATAAATAATTCGCATTTTATCGGGTAAGATTCCCATTACTTATGGTTTGCTAAACGGATTTAGTTGACTCACTTAATATGTATGAAATATTTTCGCGTTCAAACAAAATAATAATTTAACTTCATTATACAAGCCTTTGTGTAAATCTGTAAATATTTAATATCAACAATAATATTTCGAATTAACGGTATTCCACAAAGACACAAGAGAGAGGAAGAAAGGTTCAAGGCCGGTCCATCTTTTTAGATATAAAAATTTGATTGCGCTCACGACTAGAATGAACATTTCATTATATTAGTATTTTCTCAACAAAACTTTATATGACATTAAATAAATTAAAGATTCTAGAACGGCTGAGATTTTAAAAATATGATTCAATTCCAAATAATTCCATTCTTTATTAACTAGTTTTTTTTAACTTGAATGGAGAAGTAATGCTTACAATGTGAAATTATACTTAAAAACCAATCGAGAAGAAAAATTGCCTCCTCTTCACCAAACTCCCGTAAATTTCAACAAGTACTTCTGCATCCAACTTGACAAGCTGATATTTCACATTTATTCCACATTAACCTTCGAAATGAGTTTTTAATGATGGAACGCTCCACTTCCGTCCACCCATTTATTAACTAGACGCAACTGTTGGGACAATTTGGAGGACACTACCGATCATCACAAATAATGATTTCAGACTTTAGAAGTGAAAAATAATTGCCACTAGGTTAGTTATGCTATTACTAGTCAAAGCCGTGGTCTCTTATCTTCTATAAGAGATGAAGTGAAAATTTTAATTTGAATAAGTTGACAGCGTTAGTTTACCAACATGTTACTTTTGAATGCAACAAATATAATTCAAGATGAATGCTTTTTTCTTTTATTTCAACCCAAATTATTGATAAATAATAAGCATTAATTAGGAACCTTAGCATATTTAATCAATGAATCCTTGAAATGGCAAATCTAGGGCAAAAATACTGGTTTGAAATAATAAGTTTAATTAATTTTGCTAAAACAGGGTGAGTGATAGACATACATCCACGTGGTGTCCCCTGAGAAAATATAGTCATGCGGCAAAAAAGTCCATAAACCTGTAATTGACTTCAAACTGCATGTTATTTTTCACCATTTCACAGTACTCACCTTACCCTACTCCCTACCTCTGTGCCTAACTCTTTTACAACCGTGAACCACTCTTCTGGCCCCACCCCTCTTCACTTTTTGTGACTTTAATGTTCCTCCTCTCCGTGAAGACCGAGGTCAATTAAAAAGCTAATGATAACTATCATAAAGCCTGCCATTTGATACAAATAAATAGATAAAATTTTGCTTTCGCGAAATCAGCAAGATTAGTAACCATGCCACTTTATTACTTCCTTACACTTGATATGCGATCTTTTGAAATCGATGGAAATAATCGGATTTTACAATTGGCAATAGTACAATGGAATAATATTCTATAATATAACACAATGGCCTCGGTAAAAAATGATCACTTGGTAGGTTGACACTTGTCCGCAAATGTAACTGGAAAATGCGATTACTCCTTATTCTAGTGAAAACAGGCGTCGAAAATATACATTCGTTTTTATTGAAAAACTGAAAACCAGTATCAGATTTATTATCTATCTGCTGATTTTTTTGTTCAATTGTCCATTCAATTGAATTCAATGGTAAATTGATTCTATATCTAGCTTGACCACCTGGTTTTAATATGTATTTGTTAAACGCATTGCATATTTTGTTTGTTAGCATTTACAGTGATCCACGCTAACACACTAAAAGCAATGTTTATCCTCAAGCGGTGTGCGATAGACTTACCTCCACATGGTGCACCCTGGGCAACGTATACGCATACGCCAAAGAAGTCTATCAATGGGCAGTTGACTTCTGACTTCAAACTGCCATGATCCCACTGTACTCACCTCACTTTTTTTCTACCTTCGTCTTTGAAGCGCTCTTCTGTCCCCCACCACTTCCACTTTGATGTTCCTTCCCCTCTTTGAAGCCTGAAGTCAACTAAAGGGCTGATGATAACTATCAGAACGCCTGCCATTTGATATAAATAAATAAATGTTTATCCTCAATTAATATTGACTGTGTTCAAGCACAGCGGACAACTCTAACGTTGTTTAAATTCGGAACTTAGGGGAGTAGGTTAATCCGTCGAGCCATGGCGTTATCATCAAAGGAAAGAAACTTCAAAAACGCTAATATTTGTCTCAATGGAATCCGAACAAAATGATCCAGGAGCAAAATTTGCAACTGAATACAAAATTTTGAGGAAAGGAAGGAACTACTCTTACCAACCAGTGCTCCTCAGAACTAATCATAAGCAGGAGTCCTCGTTGACAAATTTTTGAGTGTTTCATGGGCTTCTAGAAGCCATATCCGTAATACTGGCAACAGATTAAGTGAAAGATAAAATAACAGTAGGATATTTTGTTGCGGTCGAGAAATGAAGAAATAATTACCTTGAATGGTATTATTCATATCAACTTTCTCGCTTGACAAACTATTTACCATCTGCTTGCATGGGTCATGAACTGAATACTGTCTTTATTAACAAAGTATATATAGTCAAACCAGTCGGACCAATAGTAATATGGGCTTTTTGATTATGTAAGCGTATATAGGATGGAAAAATTCAACTTGTAATTATTGCAAAAACAGGGCTAATACGCGCTCTCCACAAGCTTCAAGGACTTTCTTCACTTTTATAATGATTTCTTAGGCGAATTCATCTGACCTCTATAACGCTTTTGTGTAACTGTTGAATCGGGGAGTGGCAACACAAATTAAAAGGATAAGAAGATAGTGGTTGAGCAAAATTAATTATCCAGTAGTTTCTGCATAATTGATGCGTTAAAGACTTACGATTGGATACAAGTTATGACCAACCAAAATAAGGTCACATTGTTTACACAAAACTTAACTTTGCCGTTTTTCCTTCGATTTTGGCCTCATTTAAGTAGAATTTAGGTTGATGTTGATATATCGGGTATTTATTATTCTTTAGTTAATGAATTTTACATTATGAATTACAGCAGTCTTAATAAAATATCAGGTGAAAAAAAGCATCTTATGATGTATGACAAGCCCTTCCTGTCAAATAGTACCAGCCAATAAGCATTGTACATCGTGGACAAGCGGTTTCCGCAATTTTAGTGGACAAATCTCGATATTTGAATTTTGAAAATTGTGCAAAACGCGAGTTCAAATAGCAAATAAATTTGAACGGTTTGTCACTTTGACGATATTTTCTCAATTTTGGCAATCAATCCTCTTTGTCAATTGTTAAAATTTCGGATTTTTGAACTCAATTATTATCCAAAAATAAAATTGTACAGTTTTGAGTAAAATGGTTAAATATATTTATAATAGTTATATAAGCAAGGTCTCTCGTGACCATGGAAACAATAAAAGAAAATATTGAGTAAAATACCAGTTTAATGTTAATTCATGGAGAAGAAATCGGGCTTTTGAAACCAAAATTTCGGCTACACTTAAAACGATCGCTTGAATGAATATGACAGACTATCAGTTCATCTATCAAATTCTCATGAAAATGAAATAAATTTTATTCTGTTTCAAATAATAAATGAGAGTCGGTATAGATTAAAATTTGAATTTTTTTTAATTTCTCGATTAAAAGTAATTCCCAAATAGGATACAATTTTACGGGCTCTGAGATAGTGAAGACAAGTTACTATTAATAATATCATAAAAATCCATTTGGAAAATTTCCTCTTTCAAATTAGGTTAAAATTTAGAGGTATTTTTATTTCTATTTTCTTCTTTAAGTTTGTAATTCCCGGTGGCATGTCGCCTACATCAAATAAATAATATATGAGTTTCAAAAATGCTTTAAATTTTAGATCTCATTAGTTTTCTTTTCTATCATAATTTATTTTAAGTATTATTTTTTCTAAAAAATGCAAACTAACACAAAAGTGAGCCAAATGGAATGGTAGGTGTATAATCTCATACAGCTTTGTGGAAGCGTGAAATGAAATAATTACATGTACGCAATTTGAGGGCTAATATGTAAGTAAGTGAATGGAAATTGCTTGCCCGGCGCGTTTTCAAATCGCGGTAAATGATAGGGTTACTTTTTACAAAGAATCGAATTTGCAACGTTTAAAATGTCAAATAAAATACTGAGGGAAGGAAATGTATAGGAGGAGAAGGAGGAGGAGAACTGTAGAGTGTGTATACAGGGCCAATAACGTACATTTTAATCATCACACGGCTTCACGTTTCTTCTCCTTATCTTGGTCACTGTTGCCCGTCATTCTGCTTGACTTCTCCTGATCTTTGCTCTTAGGCTTGTTGGAATAGTAGATGAATTCAATTATCTCCACCACGCAGGCAGCTGTAATGCCAATTGTAACTGAACAGAGGCCACCAATTCGCGAGACAAGGACATTCAGAGTAAGAACCAGCTTCTCGGTGTTGTCCTTGGTATTTTGTGACTTTCTCTTGAGCACAATGTAAGCAAATCCATCGCTATTTGTTGAAACACTCCCATCAATGTCCAGATTTATATGTCGTAGTATATCGGGAGGTCGAGCCAAATTATTCCAGGTAGCTTCGACAGGAATTTTTCCCAAATTTTTCTCTCCCAAATATCGTTGCCACATTTTATAACCCAGACTTTCGGTTATGCTCACATTTGTATTATTTTCCGCAAATGCCTTAGCTAATCGCACGCCTTGAGTCTGTACTCGCAGCCAGTAGAGTTGCCATGGATGCGCACGCCACTTTGTTATGGAAATTGATGATTCATAGGTATAGTACTCACAACGAGGTTGACACACTGTTCCATCGTACTTCTGTTTCACAGAGATATTCAATTTACCTACAATGCAGTTTAGCCGATTGACAAACTTCTCCGTGTCCATTCTTGGCCACATTTTTCCACAATAAGGCTTTTCCTCAGTTGGAAAATATGGTCGTGGGTTCATCACATAATGACAACCACATTCGTCTATAATCTCTTTTTGTTGGTGAAGTAATATACACTGCTCGTGAGTATAATTGTAGACTCCGTCGAGATCGTTGTACTGTGGAGCAGTATGGAAGCATGGTCGTGTAGGAGTATTCATTTTTGTCCATTTAACGGGCTCGTATCCAATTTCATTCAACTTGCCAGGCTCAGCATGTAGACCAAACTTTTCCAAGTCAGGATAGGTGCCTGGTTCGTGAACAACGACTCGCAAACCTTTAGCCTGCTCAAAGACATCTGTAAGAAAGGCCTGTTCATCGGGACCGGAGCTTTCTTTAGGACCCATACTGACGATCAGACTAAGAAAGGATGTACTTAGGGCTTCTGCGTGATTCTCAGGCTCAAAGGTATGACAATTGAGATACTGGTGGTGAGAAAACTGTTTAACTTTGTAGCCACTTAGTACTCTACAATCATCTTCAATAATATTTGTCTGAGAAGCAACTCGCATACAATTTAGGAAGATTTTGTAATCATGACCCAAGGCTACGGCCTCTTCCGGCTTGAGATTCTGATAGTAAACGGAGAGGCTATCGTAAAATGTGATGGCTTCTGCCGCATTCACGTCATTATTGAGCAGGCTGGTCCAGGTTAGATTGCGCATATATCGATTAAACTGTCCAGGTGACAAAACCTTCTTTTCTTGCCAAAGCTTTCGAGCTTGCAGGGAAAAGGGATAATGATGGCAGATTGTGAGAGATGGAAAAGGCGAAGGTTCATCAAGAAGCAGTTTAGTATGAACACCAACATCGTAATTAAGAAAATCGACAATTAGAAGAACAACAGCGATGATAAGGACCGACATCATGGACACCACGAAGATGGCCCAGGTAATTCTGAGAAATTTGGGACCTTGCCATAGCTTGCCAAGACCGCGAACTGTTGTGCATCGGCAGAATAACACAAAAAGATTACGTAAACGTCGGCATAGAGACTTCCTGGAATCACTTTTGATTGGTATTGGTTCCATTGAAATGAGAGAAATACATATTAATCTGGTCGGTGAAATATCTCCTTTGCATGTACTACTTATGGACTTGCTAAGCAGAGGTGCATTCCCATTGGCTAGTTCAGATTAGCCAAACAGAATGTGATTTAATCATGATGATTGGTAAGTTCTTCCAAAAAGGCCTCCCATCTGAAATACATGCTATAATTTTTAAATATAAATTGATTTCAGTTAATGAAGAATTTGAACAATTCTTTGAATTTACGAGACTATGACTATCATCAAATTTACTTATTTTACTACTCTTATTCATTATATCTGTAGCAATAATATATCTAGTTAATACTTTGCGTTAAGAAAATGATATTAAATAAATTCAATTGCTTATTTAAATATCTTTGCACAATATTTACTAAATAGGGATTTGGACATTCAAAAACTAAAAGTTCCATAGTAGTCCATCCAACCTGAGGAAATGCCTCTCAGTGTTGACTTTTGTTTAACCAAGATGTGTTGAACTAGTCTCTTCATTTCATCCTTTGTTGTTGATAATTTTCCTGTTTGCAATTATAACATAAAAAAGACTTGATGGCAATTTTTTTAAATTTGCAGTGCTTTCAAAGCTGCGCCCAATTAAAATAAACTCTCTTTCAATTAATTGAGTTTACAATTAAATAGCTATTTACAGCAGTCCTTCTATAACATTAGCATTGGAGGTTCTGCATTTGCAATTTTTGAAAATCGGAGTCTTAAGTCCGCTATATATTCTATTTACGTTTTAAGAAAGAAAAGGCTCTATTTTGTGGTTAATGTACTATTAATTTATTAATAGTGCCGATGCACATTGGCCTGAAATTCGTCATAATGCACTAATACTAAAAGTTTTACGCTCAACTTTGATAAGTTGAGATTCAAGAAGCATCATGAAAAAATTATTTTTTGTGCATTTTATTTATTTGTTATGACGTAGTAATTAAAATTTGTACAAATGAAGTCAAAATACCTTTAAATTACCAGTCAGTTTTAAAGTATTTAATTGGTGTTAAATTGTTTGATCTAGGTAAATATGTGAATAAGAACGTATGGCTTTTAGACGTTTAATAAGCAATATTTTTTCAATCATAAATTATTAAACACAACTGATATCAGATAAAAATAATTTAAATAAAAATTTTCTCCCAATGTAAAAGTATGAACTAATCTCATTCCATTTGAATGTTTTTAGGGTCTCAAGACTTTTGTAAAATCGATAAATCACACTCCGGAATTCAAACTTCAAGATTTATTTGACTAATCGGCCTCTTTCCCGGTGATTTGGAAGGTGAAATTATCGTACATGTAATTCTAAAAAATAATCCTAGAGTAATTTCTGTTATTAAAACCTATTTAACAACTACTAAATACGATCTATCATTGAAGTGTGAACTGAAAATTAATCTTCTTTTATTAACTCAAAAGTAGCGTTAAAAGGATACACAATTTTGTATATCGTTTCGACTCACTTGCTCTGCATATGTTGGACCTTATGAAGGCGCATATTAATTTTTAAAACGCAGGAAGAGTTGCCGTATAATTTTGTTTGTTTCATGCAAACGAACGGAGCATGAAGAGGGTAGTTTAAATATCTTTTTTTACCCAACTCTTTTCTTCGTGTGCAAAGATATTTCCGAGATAGGAAGTTTTTAATAATTATAAATGATATTTCCTTTATGGAGGAATTTCCTAAGGTGCCTATAAAGGGAAAGTCAACACTCCCTTGTTTTCAGAGCTTAATGGGTGACACAAAGTACCAAGTCAGTACAAAGACGGAAGGAATGTCAAGTAGAGGTTGTCAATCTTGTTAAATTGTGTTTGTTTTGTCTGCTTTTAGTCTTTCAAACGATTGCAGAAAGTTTGCTAAAAACGTTAATATTAAAGGGGCGTGATCTATCTGGACCCCCTATTTCAAAAAGCCAATAAGTAATGTGTCATTCAAATAGCTTTGGCTGAATATAATGTGCGCAGAAGTTATAAAGTTAGATGAGGTAATTGCAAGTAACGTAAATGTTATTTGGAATTTTTATGAATATGATTATTTTAGTTTACTATATTTCACATTTCTTTCTAAATCAATGCATATAGGACACAAGGTGCTAAGACAAGTATTTTTGCATTCAACTCAGATAATCTTTTATTGACACGGATTTGTCCCAATCTGACTTGAATCGCACATTTTGCCATTCCCACTTTAGGCGAAGGTAATTAACTATAACTGAGCGCAATTCTGCAGTTCCCAACATAGCATCCTGCCATGAAAGATTACTTATTTTAAACAAATCACTTCACAAATTATCTTCCATTTTTAACTGAAAAAAATATTGGCAAGATTGGCTTAATATTAATTGAAAAGTTATGTTTTGATGAGATAATAATGGAATTTTTTCCAGCATAATTAATGAACTACTTTTCATTCAAAAATAATTCACATAAAAATATATATTTGATTAATTTTTGGATACAAATTGATATTAACGTACGTTTGATAGGTAAGAATTTTTGAAAGATTAATATTGCGGTAAAAAAGGAGAATGCATTTTTGTCAGAATTGATCAAACAATTTAGTATATTCTATGATGGTATATGATTTTGTGCACAAATGGATCTCTGTTTTAGATAAAAAATGTAGCAGATTCAAAATCAAACAGAATGGCAAATTAAAATGTTTCAACTCGGTGAGCAGCAAATTCGAACATCCTGTCGGAAATTACTTCCAGGGTTTTCGCTCCAAGTGCTTGTTAACAGTACTCCTCCGGTGAGCTTAAATATTTACGACCCAAGTATATTGGTTCAAGTATGTCCTAACTTGGTATCTGTTTGCGTAAGCTTAGAGCGCAAAAATCTAATTTGAATGGTCAAACAATTCTGTCTTTATATTTCGGCTTATTAAAACCGCTTGAGTAAAATGCTTAAAGTGTGAAGATAGCTTTGAATTAACGCTTGCACCAAATGGATGGTATGAAATAATATCTTTTCACTATGTTTAATTTATGGTCAAGGGGTGTGCGATTGACTAATCTCCACGTGGTGCACTCTAGGCAACGTATACTCATACGGCAAAAGAGTCTATTAACCGGAAGTTAACTTCTGACTTCAAACTACCATGTTCCCACTGTATGTCATATTCGACTTCTTTCACAGTACTAATCTCACTTTCTTTCTACCTTTGTGTCTGCCTCTTTTACATCTTTGAAACACTCTTCTATTCCCCTCCCCCTCTCGACGTTTTTCACTTTAGTGTTCCTTCCTCTCTGTGAAGATTGAAGTCAACTAAAGGGCTAATGATAGCTATCAATCAGCCTGCCATTTGACAAAAGTAAATTTATGATCAATGCGTATTCGGTGACAAATGATATAAGGATTCCAACCGATACCTCCTTGGCCTTATATATTTATCACACTTTGATGGCAATTTTATCTGCTCTCACCTGACCTACCGCAGACTTCCTAATTGACAAAATTTCAGTTATAATTAAGAAAATTATTCAAATTACATCAATTAACAATAAAAATTATTTAAGCTTGGCTATTATTTAATAATATGATTAATAAAAATATAAACCTAATGCAGCAATTTCGTAGGGAAAATAAGCTTTCCTTGCACCCCATTGCCTTAAGCATCCGAATTAACTGTCAGAGGTGCAAAGTGTTCCCCGCCGTATCAAATAACATTTCAAATAATCAAACTTCACATGCTCTCTACCAATTACATGTAACTGAATTTTTCTCAGTAGAAACTTAAGAGGAAATACAACTTTTCCCCGACTCAAGAAGAATTAATGTTTTTACCGAATTTTCCGCATTTAACTTTCATAGCAAATCTCCTTCACAAATACGTAAGATTTACTGTTGCGTGCTTTATGTTCTACTAAGCACTATCAGCACTTGTGCATAGTGGGAAGGGCAATCCATGTGTCTGAATAATCAAAGCTGAAGCAAAATCCATTAAATCGTCTTTCATCAAAAAAAAATCACATTTTCATGTTATTATGAGGTTGATAACAAGCAATAGGATAAAAGTAAGGCAAATCACCCAGTTAAGCATCACATCAATGTGCAACTCTGCCAAAAAATAGTTTGATTGAACCTTTAACGCCAAATTATATTTGTTTTTGACAGATGCATAAACCGCACTTATTACTCGTGTCTCGCAGTAGACTAATGTCGCCGAAGTAATGAGTTTAAGTGTTGTATCAGACATCAAGGCTAAATAGACGTATTGAACATGCTTCAAACGGCAATAGCGCCTCCTGTTAGGATTCTAGTACCAAAAGAGCTCATTTTGAAAGAGGACCGTACGATCTTGCAGGGTGTTAAAGAGTTAACATTAAGTGTAATAAAATGCAGATCTCATGGATCTTTTTCGAATAGCAGATTTCAAGTCTCATTGGCGATGGATATTTATTGTCATCAATAATTATTCAGGCAATTTTGCCATTGATATTGCTTCGTTTCATTCCTCGAGCTTTATAATGATCAACATTAAGAGTAACATCACTTTGAGGGGATTTGAAATTCTACTATTATCCAAAATTTTTTATTTTGCACCAAATTATTTCAAAATACTGTCAATTTTTTCCCAAATATTTTATATAACTTCGTTGAATTATTTAATAAAACATTGACTTTTAAGTACGGCCAAACATGTACTTAAAATGAATAAAGTAGTTGTGAGAACACTTATTTGTAAAGAAATAAATTGTTTGATTAAAATGCACTCAAAGTGATATTAACTGTCGCATTATCTTAATTCAAGAAGTAACTTTTCGATAGATACGTAAATGAAATTATTCAATTCAAAAGTCTCAGACTGAAATTGAATGATTAAATACTTTGTCTAATTTGGGCACCATTCTGTTTTGCAATTTTAGACACCATAATAAGATTACCTTTCTCTTCACATAAATTATCACCTAAATGCTATGCATTAGCTATCAGAATAAGGTTAATTCAAATTTACCTCAAAATTAAAAAGATGTGTTTTG